TCTCTCTCTCTCTCTCTCTCTCTCTCTCTCTCTCTCTCTCTCTTGCGCTTTTTTGCGATCTCTCTCTCTCTCTCTCTCTCTCTCAGTGTTGCATGCACAATTATATTACGGCGTTCATGACGGCAGCAACCATTCTCTGCACCTGCCAATAGCCTGTTCTTCACATCAATAGGCTCAACTGGGCTGGATATCAATCCGCTCGTCACTTGACTCAATAAACACCTCGTCCATGAGAAGAAGTGTCTTTGTGATGAAGTATTCCCTCTGCTGACACTGCTGTTAATATTGAACCGCTGGTTACCACTGAACAGAAGCGGGTTATCCGCACACTCTATAAAGGAAAGGGCCACAAACCAAAGTAACTGTAATCTTGAGAATTACTCATTGTTGATATCTGTACAACAAATCCCCGTTCTACTTCACTGCATGGTGTGTTTTGAAACCGAAACTATCACATGTAAGATCCACCACAGACGAATTAAATGTGGTAAACCAACCACACATTTGCTGTGTCGCATGCTTGTTGAAAAATTACAGTCAATGCTGTAAAAGATTTACGGTTTTTAACTGTGCGGCAACTGAGACACACACACCTTTCCCTCCCTCCCGCTATATTCCAACACAAATCAGAGGACGACGACCTGCAACGAGATGAGATGGATATAACTAACAGGCGACAGGAGGTCGAAGATGTGGGCGGCAAGAAGATCGTTGAGGCCCATTCATATTGTCCGCACCCTTCCGGCCGGCACCTTCCTGGGCGATGCTGACTGCTTCGGCTGCAGGGGAGGACCTGTAGCTCCTCGCCACTGCCCATCCATATGTTCAGCACATTTCTGGGCAATGAAAGGGTGTGATTGCCGCCTTACTTGCTTGTTCGGCCGCTGGGGAGGACCTGTAGCTCCTCGCCGCTGCCCATTCATATTATCGGCACCCTTCAGGGCGATGACAAGCTGTGGCTAATGACTCACTTACTCGATCGTCCGCCAGGGAGGACCTGTAGCTCCTCGCTGCTGCCCATCCATATTTTGTCAATTAAACCTAAATCTTTTTTCGACCCCCCAGCCTTCGGCACATCTGGTTCTTGGCCCAACTCATCAAACTCCCACCCTGAAATTTCTTCCCTCGTTGACGCATCTTCTCCCAGGTGACCCTTCGCAAGCTCCGTGCCAGCTTCACTATCATTTTCTACGTCTTTGAAGGAGTCGTCATCCTGCTCATCGCTGTCTGCACCTCCGGCAGCAGCGGCAGTGCTCCCTTCTGTTGCATGTGAGGATGACGCGGCAGCGTCGCCATCACCTCGTGGCGACTGCAATTGTCGTCCCTCCTGCCGACTCCGTGGACTGCCTGCCAGGCTGCCGAGAACGCCGGAAAGGAGTCCGCCACCTCGCGGCGTGGCAGCCGGCGAGTTCTCCACAGACTTATCAGCGCTTGTCGTTCCTGAAACAGTTTCCGATCCAGATTTCGCATTCTCATCCTCCTTCTCCCAATTGATCTCTGGCCGGTCGATATCCTTGATTTGCGCTTGAAGCTTATCGATAGACGCCAGGTATTCCTGAACGGTTTCGAGTGCCGCTTTGCCATCCCTACATCGAACCCCACAGTCACCGGCAACATTTCAGAAAATTTGAGAAAATGCATCTCAGAGCTTTGGGAAGCTAGCTGAACAATCAGAAAGATGTGACTGCTTTGCAGTCGACATTCACAGAGGCAAAGCAGTTTGAAGCAGGCCAGGGCAGTGCAGGACAGGGCAGGGCAGAGAAGGAGAGGGCAGGGCAGGCAAGCAAGGGAAGGGAGAGGCAGGGGAAGGCAAGGGAGGGTAGCCTAGGCTAGGCTCATAGCAAATGCTCTCACAAGCTCATCCATCGCGGCAGGGCAAGACAGGAGAGGGCAGGACAGGGCAGGCTAGGGCAGGATAGGGGAAGCTAGGAGAGGCTAGGGGAGGGCAGGGCAGGGTACGGCAGGAGAGGTCAGGGCAGGAGACGGCAGGAGACGGCAGGAGAGGGCAGGACAGGGCAGGCTAGGGCAGGATAGGGAAGCTAGGAGAGGCTAGGGGAGGGCAGGGCAGGCCAGGGCAGGGCAGGGCAGGCAGGACAGGGTAGGCTAGGGCAGGATAGGACAAGATGGGACAGGATAGAGAGGGTAGGGTAGGGGAGGGTAGGGTAGAGTATGCTCATCTACACAACAGTGTATGCTCTCACAAACTCGCCCATCGCCCATCAGGATAGGGTAGGGCAGGGTAGGGTAGGGTAGGGTAGGGTAGGGTAGGGTAGGGTAGGGCAGGGCAGGGCAGGGCAGGGCAGGGCAGGGTAGGGTAGGGTAGGGCAGGGTAGGGAAGGGTAGGGTAGGGTGGGGTAGGGTAGGTAGGGTAGGGTAGGATCATGTAAACAACAGGGAATGCTCTCACAAACTCACCCATCCTGCACTGTAGCTGCATATTTGGTCGCCTCCCTCCTAATACTTTCAATAACTCCAAACACCTTCGTTGCCTGCGATGCGCAACGCACATGGAGAACAAGAATGTCATCATCAGCAGCGGCAAATGAGCTATAACGCTAAGTATCTGACGGGTGAGCAACCAGCATCAAAACCCACCGATTGATACACAATACTACACACACCCATAAATTCTCCTTTATTGAGCCGCACAATCTTCTACTTCTATCTACTATATAACTCCTAAATTGTACAGTGGGTCTTGGAAGACGGTCCCCGCTGGGCCCAAGGCGTCTCAGTGGTGTCCCGTTTTTGAGACCCGCTGCCTCTTTTTTTTTTGCCGTGTCGAGTTTGTGGTGGAGTTTCTTTTATTTTGTGGCATAGAGGTGAGGAACCTGAATGGAGAGCTTCTCGGTGCATTTTTTATTAGGCGACTCCTCGGTTTTGTCAGTTTGTGCTCGAATCACGTTTTGGCCCGTATTGAATACAACTCCATAGCAAGCCAGGGTGTGAAGCGACTCGAAGTGGTGCAAATCTTTTTTTTTTTTTTTTTTTTTTTTTTTAATTTTTAAAGTAAGCTATATTCTTCTCCCATCTATCTCATATTCTTCGTCTTCGCTCGGGTAAACCGGGCGGGCCAAAAACCGCCCAGGGGTCACCAGCCCGTACGCATCTATCTCATCCTCTCACTAGTCTATTTATAGTACGGGGGAACACCGACCAACCTGGATCTCTCCCCAGCCCACGGGGTAGGTTTGCACCACAGCTGTGGTGCGAGAGCAAGGCTGTACCAGTCCCTCATCACGGTGACGAGGGGTGGGCAGGCATTGCCGATGGGGGAAATCAGCGGTGCTAGCGCCGGGCAATGGCCAGTCACTGCACCTCCCCCTCCCCCCCCCAAACCCCACATGGCGGTGTCTAATGGCCAATATTGTCGCTGCATAGCAGCCAACAACATCAGCCAAGGTCCTGCCAATCCAGTTCTTTTTTTTCTTTCTTTGTTTTTCCATTTTCGTGATGCGCATGTGTCATCGTTATGCAGGTGGCATGCTAATCTTCTCTTTCCAGTTTTAACACGTGTCCCGTCCTTCCGTACTGAATGTGTCCATACCTATGGTGGCTGATTCTGTCCCTACCTATCGTGGCTGAAACTGTCCGTGGTTGTGCCACATGTATGAATGGTCCTCGCTGCACTGCTCTTTAATATGCAAAATGAGAATGAATCTTCCGCTAGAACATGGAAAGATACACTGACATGTTTTTTGTCTTTTGTCCATGTGGAGAGTAGTGCAGCGAGGCCCAACGTGTCGTGGCTGTGCCATATGTTCGAATGTGTTGTGGACCTCTGGTCCTTGTGGAATCTTTTTTCTTTTTTATAGGGGCCAAGTCGCACTAGATGGTGTTCTTTTTTTTTTTCTTTTTTTTTTCTATTCTGGGGAGCGTCAGTCCCACTAGATGGTGTTCTTAATTTCTGCCCATAATTAATTATTGCTCTGAGCTTCAACGCTTACTTTTGGAAAGTATTTCAAAGAGTGGGACGCTGGACCCGGTTTCCAGCAGCAGAAGGGACTAAGTTGAACACGATGGATGGCCTAGCTTAGCTCTTAGGCTGGTTGGACGGAGGAGTTTCTTTTAGCAGCTGATTGGAATCGAGCTATGCTCGTAAGCTAAACTGGCTGAGGCTGCCAGGATAACTCCGGGTCGAATTGTGAGGTCGCCGGCCTCGTCCCATTGATTTTCTTGCAATAGAATGATTAGCTTTCCAAAAAAAAAGAAAAAAAAAAAGAAACATTCTGGCCATGGATCTGTGTATTCCCGCCACAATCAGCGGTCAAGAATGAAGAACACACGCCAGTGGGACCTGGCCCCAGTTGTGAAATTGTCCACTACGCCCGTGTTTTTCATCTTTTTGAAGTTTTTGTGTGTGGTGGTTAGTGGCGCCAGGCCCTAAGCCGGTGTAGGTGGGG